GAATCCAAGTAACCTACCTCCAGAGCTGACCTTGCCACTAGACCTTTATCTTCCTCACACCTAAACCCATTCCAGAAGTTCCCATCAGCTACCATTTGCTCTATGACTAGTCTGGGATCTTGAACAATAGGACAGCATAGATAAGAAGAATACACCCACTTTGGTAAATCGGTCCGTGGGCTTTAGTTTCTTTGAAAAGGAGCCAGTTGAACTAATCAATGCAGTCCCTTTCTGCCTAAACTTGAGTGGTCAATGTAATCTTAGTTTGGTAGATTCTCAACTGAAACTGAATAGAGGATGGAAGGAAGAATAAGAAAAAAAAACCTGGACCTTCAGTCAACCGGAGGAAGTGTTCCAGTGGGAATTGTAATCAATTAGAGAGCAATCTATTCAGTTAGGTTCTTATTAAAGAATATTAATCCAAAAATATAGATTTCTCTGTTAATACAGTATTAGAAAAAAAGATTTTTTCATTTTCTTCACTTTGGAAACATGCAGAGGAAGCATACAGCTGGCAGAGCATACAAACTGAAGGAAAAATTGAAGTACCATTTTAAACCATTAAAGATGTGTGTTGGGAGCATACTGCAACCTGGAGTAGGCAGCATGGAGATACAGTCTCTGTGCGCCACCACGCCCAGCTAACTTTCATACTTTTTGTAATACCAATAACGTCTACAAAAGGAGTTTCCTTAGGCTGAGTTTTTATTTTAGTCATACATGACAGAACATAGCCTATATTTGGGCTTACTTCACCTAAAAGCCTTAACAGAGTTTTGTGTTTACAGAAGTAAATAGGGTAACAACTAGTTTTGATCTATTTTGAGCTTTTACAAACTACACAGTAGGAAAGGGTTTCAAAAGAACAAGCAGTAATTATATAAAGATTTTCATGAATCAAAGTTAAGCGAATGAATGTATAACTTCTTTGGATTATGGTATTACTTTGGGGCACATTTAAAATTATTACTCTGATGATTTTGAAAATTCCAGGCACCATTAGACTCCATCATTCTGTACAGTATTTCTCTAATTCTATACATATTTATCTTTTTTTGGTTAGTGTCCACCTGTTAATCAATTAAACAATACTACATTATTCTAGGACAGGAGCCAGGAACTTTGGTCTTATGGCATAAAACTACTCTATTACTTTTGTGTAGAATATATTTCACTACTGGTTCCTAGATACTTATGTCGGAGAGTACTTAAAATATTTCCCTGCAGTTGCTTGAGTGTCATTGAAAAACAAAAGAAAAAATCAACTCATGTATATCTGATACAACCCAACAAGACAGTGGGTCTCCGTGGGGTTCCAGGATCATCTTTATTAGAATCACTCAGGATGCTTATTGAAAACCCAGATTCCTGGGAAATAGTCAACACATACAAGAATCAGAAGTAGGCCGGGCGCGGTGGCTCAAGCCTGTAATCCCAGCACTTTGGGAGGCCGAGGTGGGTGGATCAGGAGGTCAAGAGATCAAGACCATCCTGGTCAACATGGTAAAACCCCGTCTCTACTAAAAATACAAAAAATTAGCTGGGCGTGGTGACGCATGCCTGTAATCCCAGCTACTAAGGAGGCTGAGGCAGGAGAATTGCCTGAACCCAGGAGGTGGAGGTTGCGGTGAGCCGAGATTGCACCATTGCACTCCAGCCTGGGTAACAAGAGTGAAACTCCGTCTCAAAAAAAAAAAAAAAAAAAAAAGAAGTTGGTTAAGGGACACAGAAATACAGAAGGAATAAGTTTTAGTATTTAATAGTACAGTAGGAAAATTATAGTGAACAATAATTATTGTGTATTTCAAAATAGCTAGAAAAGAATTATAATATTAATATTCCACAAAAACACAAAAAGGTAAATGTTTGAGGTGATGGATATTCCAGTTACCCTGATTGCCTCATTGCACCTTCTTTACAGCTATCAAAATACCACATGTAGCCACAAAATATGCACAGCCATTATATAGCAATAGAATTTTTTAAATTTATGTGTTATAATTTGAGTCTAACCAGGGATTCTTAAGAAACACATAAATTTAGTAGCTATATATAGTTAAATAATATTTTACTAAATTTTCTATAACTACCTCTATTTTAATGGCAGTGATTTAAGAGTTAGACATAGTCACCAGAACTCTTATCGCTCATATCTGCGTTCTACCATAGTATCTACCCCAAACAACATATAATGAGAAAGAATACCGTCTATCTGGAAGTGTATAACTAGTAAATATTAGTTAAGAACCATAGTCTTTCCTGTTTTGAAAATAGTTGAGTTTGATCTCTCTTAGACCAATGCCAATTAGTTTTATAACCCAATTTTATTGCCAGAGGGATGGCTCCATCTTCTTGAATATTTGAAGTGAAAAATAATGACCATTGAAACAAACAGATTATGTAAATGTATTCATACCCTGCAGAAGAATTTTCTAAATTCCTCTTATAGCTTTCAAAAAAATGAAAGTGTAAGCGATACTATATGCTAAAGGAACCCCTCTTTTGCCTCCTACTATGTCATATGGTAAAAATATGACTAATTGTATTAATAAGCAACATCTGCTTAAATAAACTTTATACCTGAAGCAACGTTGTTATACGTAAACTGCGTATACTAAGAGAATCTGAGATGTCACTAGCTCTAAAGAGTGCTAACTTAGCTGAACATCAAATGTCCATTTACATATACAAATAAAATAACATAATTATATCAGTAAATTTAGTTACCAGTGTTTGAAAAATACTTACTAGATAATTGACCTTTACTGAAGACATCTTAATTAAAATTAATTTAAATTTTACCACTAAAAATAAATGACTCATTTGCTGTAATGATTTGCACTTACAGATAATATATATTTTCTTATTTCAATGCCCATTTTGGACCTATTTAAACATAAAGGTATTTGTTCAGGCTGGGTGCGGTGGCTCACACCTTAATCCTAGCACTTACGGGAGGCCAAGGTGTATGGAGCACATGGTCAAGAGATCGAGACCATCCTGGTCAACATGGTGAAACCCCTTCTCTACTAAAAATACAAAAATTAGCTGGGCATGGTGGTGCACACCTGTAGTCTCAGCTACTTGGGAGGCTGAGGCAAGAGAACTGCCTGAACCCAGGAGGCAGAGGTTGCAGTGAGCTGAGATGGCTCCACTGCACTCCAGCCTGGCACTACTCTGTCTCAAAAAAAAAAAAAGGTATTTGTTGCCTTTTGAAAGGAACTAGATCATAATGACCACAGGGTCTGCATATATAGGGCATTGAATGTCATACATTTAGGCTCTCATCAGCAGATTTATATGCACATGCAGAGACAGTGATGTTTGTTCTGAGATCTGCTTATACCAGTTATGCTTTTGATAATAATTATGTAAATTTTAAAATTAGCACATAATCCATGAATTATGAGAATAAAAAGAGAGATGTTTCTAATAAAACTGAATGCATTGGAAAGACTGAATGAATACAAGACATTTAAAAAATGTTTATTTGGTGTGGATGAGACCATTCTGAAAGTTTGCAGACAAAAATATGAAAGACAAAAAACACTCTTCCAAATTCAGGTTATTTGAATTTAGCTAGTTATTTATCTTTAAAGAAATGGAGACTGGAAATCATAGACTTTAGTTGCATAACAGAGAACCCTCAGCCACTACAAAAAGATAATGGAGAACGAAAATCTGCTTAATCTAAGTAATGGCTGCGGCTATGCATCCCAGAATTGTAATAACTTTCTATATATAAAATTAAAATGTTGAAGGTGTATGTATGTGTTTATCTTTAATTCTTCACTTCAGCCTGATTTTTCTATTAATTCATTATCTATCCACCCTTACCACACAGTTTCTACAGTAACATAAACATGCATACAGTTTGATAATAAAATATCACATTTATGGGGTTTTTCTCATCATCATACCACAGGAGGATAATAGTACACCACACCATCACCATACCATCTCATACCACTGGAGAATAATAGTACAGGTCTTATTCTGCAAAAGGGAGCGGGAAAGGCATATCAGAGAGATACTATGATGTGCAGAAATAGGATGTGCATATTGCTCTTAGGTAGCTATGGATTGTGAAATGTGGTTAGAATAAATATGTGAAAAGCTACAGGAGAAGAAATTCTATGAGTGAATAAGAGCTTCATTATATAGAATTTGATTGTTGGCAAAGAGATTTTTTGTAAACAAAATAAGCAACTAATTATTTTTTTTAGTATGTGGCTAAGAGAAGAAGACGGATTGGAGAAAGAGCTGTAAAGCTGTACTACGTACAGTCATGGATTGGGAAGTTGGAATGACAGCAGAAATTAAAATGTAGTGGAACATAGGTATAGAAGTGAAGCAGATCTTAGGAAGATAATTCAGTGAATGGCCAGCATGAGGTGAGGTTGGTGGTAGGAGTAGCAATGCTGCTGAGAAGGCAAGAAAAATGAAGACTGAGTAGTACCCATTGGCCCTACTATAGCTATCAGGAAACCAAGAACGGGCACTCACTGACTGAGTAGATATCATTGCAGGGAATGGATAAAAACAGAGTTAGATTTTGAGAAGGAAAAATGTCAAGCTTTGCTGAATTGCTGGATGTTGAAACTTTGAGGACAAAAAAAATTGTCAAATATTTGTGATTAGAGAATCAGGATGCCATAGAAGATCAAGACAGGTTTGGCAAGAAAGCCTAAGCGGTAGGAAAACTGATGTTGGGCTTGGATGCTAAGAGGTCAAATAACAGGAGGACTCAAAATCACCCTTTGCTTTGGTAATGTGAAAATATGGATTGAAGAATGAATGAAATCAGAGGAAATGGAAAAAGCAAGTGTCAACAACCCACTGAAAAATTTGGCTATAAAGGAAGTAGAGAGATATACCAGTAAGTGGGGAGAAATGTAGGGTCCAGGGAGAATTTTACATCCTATCACAGCATGTCAGATGATTACAGAAAAACTCAAGAACAAGAAAGTAAGGCACAAACTAGAAAGAATTACGAATGAATGAAGCCCCTGAGAGTTGATGGAATGGAACTCAGAGCTCATGTGGAAGGACTCGCCTTCTATGGAAAAAGGGATATTTTCTGCATTATCAGGAGGGTAGAAGGAGGCATGGATGTAGGTTTGTTGATGTGTAAGCGAAAAATGAGGGGAATGCCATATGAAAGCTTCTGTTCTCTCGAAGTAAAGAATATTGCTACCTCTGAAGAGTAGTGGGGAGAAGTACTGGAGATTTGGAGAAAGTAGGAAGGATTTGCATATGCTAAAACCTAGGGATATAAGAGTGAGATCCCAGATGGTGCCGGTGAACACGAATTTTTAATACTACGAAGATGACTGGAAGATTTTCTCCAGTACTCCCCTGCTGCTTGAATACAGGTAATAGTATATGTGTTTGAGTGCATTCAAGATTAGAGTTTTATGGGTAGGTGGGGTAAAAGGTAGAGAAAGTCAACAGAGGTGATGATATTTGCAAAAGGGTGATCACAATAGAGAATTATAGAAAGTAAGCCAGACAATGAATAACAACAAGGAGCAGGGGGCTAGAAGATAGAACATTGTGGGGTTAATGGATTAGAATTCATAATGAGGTTGAAAATTTTTTGCTGCAACAGTACCCAACATGTGAACCGAAATGATAGGAATCCATGATTTTAATGATTTTTAAATCCTGGTTTTTTTTGTTTTTTTTTTGTTTGTTTGTTTTGAGACGGAGTTTCGCTCTTGTTACCCAGGCTGGAGTGCAATGGCGCGATCTCGGCTCACCGCAATCAGGTCATGTTACACGTGTTGTGCTAGGCTTGTTTTGGGGAACTCAGCCTAGGAATATGAGTGAAGAGATAACTCACAAAGAAAAGCAAATCACTGGCATGCAGGGGGTCCTGAGCAATTCAGAGTCAGAGGCAACTAGAGTGTGCAGCCACCTGACCTGCTAATTTCCCAATATGCTTAATGGATCCATGATGGCGGGGCCACAAAGGAAATGCAGAAGCCTTCCCTTCCTGCCTCCCACACTCTGTGGGTCAAGTATTTACCAAAAACACAGCAGTGGACTGGGCACCAGCAGAGATACACAGAGGGAAAAACAGTTCTCCCTTTTCAAGGCAGGTTGGACAACATCAATAATTTGCAGTTAGGATGTGCAGGTGGAGTGTGCACGCATGTCCAGAATTTAAAGACAAACAGATGGGAGAGGGAATGATTCCAGCAGAAAGACCAGTAAACGTTCACATCTACAGTGTACACTGAACTGCCACCTAGACAACATAGCAAGGCTCTGTCTCTACAAAGGTTTAAAAATTAAGCCAGGTGTGGTAGCACATGCCTGTAATGTCAGCTACCCAGGAGGCTGAGGCAGGAGGATCACTTTAGCCCAGGAGTTTAAAATTACAATAAAGTGTGATCACATCACTGCACTCCAGCCTGGGCATCAGAGCAAGGCCCTATCTCTAGAACAAAACAAGATAAGATGTTTACATAAAAATCAACCTGGGCTCACACCTATAATCCCAGCACTTTGGGAGGCCGAGGCGGGTGGATCAGAAGGCCAAGAGATCGAGACCATCCTGGTCAACATGTTGAAACCCCGTCTCTATTAAAAATACAAAAAATTAGCTGGGTATGGTGGTGCGTGCCTGTAATGCCAGCTACTCAGGAGGCTGAGACAGGAGACTTGCATGAACCCAGGAGGCAGAGGTTGCGGTGAGCCGAGATCGCGCCATTGCACTCCAGCCTGGGTAACAAAAGCAAAACTGCATCTCAAAAAAAAAAAAAAAAAAAAAAATCAATGTATGAAAATCCAAAATAAAATATTAGCAAATCAACCCCACTGGGGCTTAAAAAAAGTTACCTAGGTAGCTGATTACCTAACGTTGCCGGCCGAAGCAGTTCCACTGGCGAGTGTGTATGTGGCGAGCCAGTCCCAGCACTGCCTGCTCAGCTCCCTTAGCTCCCGCGACATTGGCCCAGACGCCGCCTGAACGTGCACTCTGCCAGCCAAGATATTAACCTGAATTCTCCTAACAAAGTTCTGCTCTCTGACTCCATGACCGATGTTCCTGTGGACACAGGTGTGGCTGCCCTGACTCCTGCTGTTGAGGGTGAGGGTCTAACAGAGGCTGAGGAGGAACTCCAGGCTGAGCTGACCAAGGTGGAAGAGGAAATTGTCACTCTACACCAGGTCCTGGCAGCCAAGGAGACGCACTGCGCGGAGAGCTCAAAAAGAGGCTGGGCCTCTCCACACTGGGGGAATTGAAACAGAACCGCTCTGAGAGCTCAAAAAGAGGCTGGGCCTCTCCACACTGGGGGAATTGAAACAGAACCGCTCCAGGAGCTGCCATGATGTGCAGGTCTCTAACGCCTATAAGCAGACTCGGGAAACTCTTTCACAGGCAAGACAAAAGGCTTCAGCTGCCTTGTCCACAGTGGGCTCTGCCATTAGCAGGAAGCTTGGAGACAATGAGGAACTCTGCAAGCTTCAAGTTGTTTGAGGATCGAGTTGGGACCATAAAGTTTAAGGCTGTGGGCCGGGCATGGTGGCTCACTCCTGTAATCCCAGTACTTTGGGAGGCCAAGGCGTGTGGATCACTTGAGGTCAGGAGCTTGAGACCAGCCTGACCAATATGGCGAAACCCCGTCTCTTAAAAAAAAAAAAAAAAAAAAAAAGTCTAAGGTTGTGGGAGACAGAACGGCAGTGACAACCTCCCTTCCTCAGTGGGGAATGGTGACAAGCCCCTGTCGGATCCCACACGTTTTTAAGCCTGAGGTTGCTTTGCCCACTGCAGAGCACACACAAAACACTCTCAGTATTGCAGTCACAGCTCTGCACAGCGGAGCAGCCAGTCAGGCAGATGAGCAGAGACGGCTTGGGTGATAGTCCTGCCCATCCACATGGAGATGCGGCTGTTCGGTTCGCAGGAATTAGAGAACACAGTCCTGTACACAGATGTTTTACACTGAAGTTTGTAGATGAAGCAGATCACTGTGCTGTCCTTCCTAGGGGTGCAGGAAGGGGACAGGGTGGAGGATTTGAGAGGATTGAGCCAAAGCCCAGGCTCCCTTTGGGAATCTTGTTAGCCCATTCAGAATGTTGAAGGATTGAAGATTCCTAAGCATAAAAGAAATGGCCTTTTCTGACCTCTTCCTCCTCCTCCTTCCCTGACTCACAGAGGGAATGCAATCACCCTGCGAGTCCTACCTGTTCCACAATTCAACCCCAAAATGCTGAACAAGAAAACTGTCCACTTTCTGAGACCCACCAGAAAGGAAACTGATCAGCAGCAGCTGCCTAATTGTTCCACTAATCTAGCTTTAACAGACGCAAATTCATTATTTTTTAAATGTAGTGAACTTTCCAAAAATTAAAATTAGGCAAAGCAGACAAAAAAGTTAACCAAGTGAGACTTGTACAGTGTGAAAAGGATGGCTCAAAATCAGAACATCTTTTCATTTCCTTTATATTAATATGTTAAAATCATAATCATCAGAGATGTTGAAAGGCATCTGACACAATTCACTACAAAATTTATAAAAGAAACTTATCAAATTAGAAAGAGGGATACTTCCTTAAATTACTCGCAATAAAGGAAATTACACCCAGACACACACCCATCAAGGCAAAGCCCAGCATCATTTGTAAGGGATGAAAGCAATAGAAGCTTCCATCAACCTTTGCAACAAAAGAATGCCCTCTGTCACCACTATTATTTTGGAAGCCCTAGCTGATGCAACTAGGCAAGGAGCAAAGTGAGATATTAAAGAAAAAGGCAGAAGGTGAACTAGTTTTATTTACTCTGAAAAATGAGGCAGGCAGATTCGGCTAAGGAGTTAGGTACAAAAGGAGCATACTAACAGCCTTCCTTTTTCTTAGTTGTTAAACTACAGAGATGGGGCCAGGCACAGCTCGTGCCTGTAATCCCAGCACTTTGGGAGACCAAGGCAGGCAGATTGCTTGAGGCCGGGAGTTTCATACCAGACTGGTCAACATGGCAAAACCCTGACTCTACTAATAATACAAAAATTAGCCGGGTGTGGTGAAACACTCCTGTCATAGCAGGTAGTCAGGAGGCTGAGGCATGAGAATTGCTTGAACCTGGGAGGTGAAGGTTGCAGTGAGCTGGAACTGCACTACTGCACTCCAGCTTGGGCAACAGAGCAAGACCCTGTCTCAAACAAACAGATAGATGATAGATAGATAGATAGATAGATAGATAGATAGATAGATAATAGATAGATAGATAGATAGATAGATAGAGATGGGGTCATCTTAGGCTGCCCAGGCTGGTCTCAAACTCCTTGGCTCAAGCAATCCTTCTGCCTCAGTCTCCCAAAGTGCTAGGATTACAGGCCTCAGCCACCAAGTCTGGCCTCTGACAGTCTTCCTATGTACAAACAAGCAGTTAGAAGAGAAAACATCCCATTTGCAACAGCACACCCGCCCCCTCCAAAAAACTCTCAGAAATAAATGTGCTAAAACATACACATATAATCCGTATGAAGAAATCGTTCAATGAAACACTTTGAATGCCAAGAAAGCCACACTGCACATGTTACTGAGAAAGGTTCAACATTAAAATGATGTCACGGCCAGATGTGGTGGCTCACACCTGTAATCCCAGCACTCTGGAAGGCCGAGGTGGGTGGATCATGCATTTGAGACAAGCCTGAGCAGCATGGCAAAACCCTCTCTACTAAAAATATAAAAAAATAGCGGCATGGATCTGTAATCCCAGCTACTTAAGAGGTTGAAGCAGGAGAATTGCTTGAACTCGGCAGGCAGAGGTTGCAGTGAGCTGAGACTGCGCCACTGCATTCCAGCCTGAGTGACAGAGCGAGACTCCATCTCAAAAAACAAAAAAAGATGTCAGCCGGGCACGGTGGCTCACACCTATAATCCCAGCACTTTGGGAGGCAGAGGCCGGTGGATCATGAGGTCAAGAGATCGAGACCATCCTGGTCAACAAGGTGAAACCCCGTCTCTACTAAAAATACGAAAATTCACTGGGCATGGTAGTATATGCCTGTAGTCCCAGCTACTCGGGAAGCTGAGACAGGAGAATTGCTTGAACCCAGAAGGCAGAGGTTGTGGTGAGCCGAGATCGTGCCATTGCACTGCAGTCTGGGTAACAGCGAAACTCCACCTCAAAAAAAAAAAAAAAAAAGTCACTATCAATATCAGGTGGAGGTGTGTGGCCGTGGAGTCTTCACACATGCTGGGGGAACGTAAGACGGCATGGCCACTCCAAAAGACAGTTTGGCAGTTTTTTAAAAGGCAAATATAAATTTACCTTATGGAGCCAGCTGCAGTGGCTCAGGCCTGTAATCCCAGCATTTTGGGAGGCCAAGGTGGGTAGATCACCTGAAGTCAGGAGTTCAAGGCCAAACTTGGCCAACATGGTGAAACCCCATCTCTACTCAACATACAAAAAAATAGACCAATGTGGTGGTGGGTGCCCGTAATCCCAGACACATGGGAAGCTGAGGCAGGAGAATCACTTAAAACTGGAAGGAGGAGGTTGCAGTGAGCTGAGATCATGCCACTGCACTCTAGCCTGGGTAAAAGAGTGAGACTCTTGTCTCAAAAACCAAAAAAAGAATTAGTTAGGCGTGGTGGTGCATGCCTGTAATCCTAGCTACTCAGGTGGCTGAGGCAGAAGAATCCCTTGAACCCAGGAGGTGTGGGTTGCAGCGAGTCAAGATCATGCCCTGGCACTCCAGCTTGGGCAACTGAGTGAGACTGTCTCCAAACAAACAAAAGAAGTCTCTGTGCACAGCCCACACTGATGGAGGAGGCATCCTCAACTTTTATTTACTGAGTTTGGCAACCCTGCTGTCACACCAGCACATTTCAAGTACTCCATAGATCCATGAGGCTGCTGACAATCACATTAGACAGCGCAGCTCTACTCTAGAACATCAAGGAAAAGCAAGCACCTACACATCAGTCTCTCAGGTACCACAGTACTGTTGTTTACTTAATAGTTTTCTTCAAAAGGGCTCCCTTTTTTTTTTTTTTTTTTAAGATGGAATCTCACTCTGTCCCCCAGGCTGGAGTGCAGTGGCATTATCTCAGCTCACTGCAACCTCTGCCTCCTGGGTTCAAGCGACTCTCCTGCCTCAGTCTCCCGAGTAGCTGGGATTATAGGCGCCCACCACCACACTCGGCTAATTTTTGTATTTTTAGTAGAGATGGGGTTTCACCATGATGGCCAGGCTGGTCGCGAAATCCTGACCTCAGGCGATCCGCCCGCTTTGGCCTCCTAAAGTGCTGAGATAACAGGTGTGAGCCACTGCACCCAGTCACAGGGCTTTTTAAAAAGGGAACTTGATATCACTACCTTGCAACGGCCTAGTATCAAGGATGGCCCTGGACGTCCAGGAGGTAGAGCAGCTCTATTCCTCCACTTGGGCTTTTTCCAGCCTTCCTTTCTTCTCCCCAGAAGCCTGGGGCAGGCGGGGACCCCTTGGTCGTGGTCCTCTGGGCTCCATGGTCCCCACTCGAGGGAGCCTTCACCAGTTCACAACCAGCGTCACGGGCAGCTCTGACCCCTCCTGTGCCTCAGGTGGCTCTGGGCCAGAAAGCTGTGGATCCATGGCTGCCAAACCTGGTTGATGATGAGACTCACCGGAGAGCTTTCTAAAAGCTTAGATTTTCTTGAGCCCCCAGCACGTGGCTCCTAATTGAAGATACGGGTAGGGACCAGGCCAACAACAGCCCAGGTGGAGCTGATAATTAGCTACATGCCAGAGTCCTACAAGCAGGACAACCAGGCTTAGCTGTGCTCTGGGAAAATTTTCACCTGCAAGTAATTCACAGCTGTCTGATGGAAGAGCCCCGACTCCAACTCTCATTTTTTCTTGAGACAGAGTCTCACTCTGTGGCCCAAGCTGGAGTGCAGGGTCATGATCTTGGCTCACTGCAACCTCCGATGCCTGGGTTCAAGCGATTCTCCTGCTTCAGTCTCCACAGTAGCTGGGACCACAGGCATGTACCATTATGCCTGGCTAATTTTTGTATTTTTGGTAGAGACAGGGTTTCGCCATGTTGGGCAGGCTGGTCATGAACTCCGGGCTTCAGGAGATCTGCCCACCTTGGCCACCCAAAGTGCTGGGATGACAGCTGTGAGCCACCGCACCCGGCTTGACTCACTTTCTAAAATGAGCAGTATCCGCGGAAAGAAATTGCCTTGCTCAGCCTTCTCCCAAGCTCACAGGACATGGAATGAAGTGCCGACAGACCCTTTGGAGAAACTCCTTTCCCTGTCCTCTGTGACCAGGAGGAAAGGAGGCTTAGTGGTCTGGTATTTCTGGGTGTTCAGCCTCTTTGTTTCTTCCTTTTCTTGTCCATATCACATATCAGGTCCCTTGGATCAGGGACAGAACTAGATTGTACCCCTCTGGGTGGCCACTCACTAGACTTTAGGGTCAGGTAACTGGTTTAGTAAGTTCCAGGTTCACAGAGAGAGAGGAACTGCTCAGGATGGATCATCCCCAGAGCCTCCCCCATGCCAGATTGAGGTGATTTAGGTGACAAGATTTAGAGCAGATTTTGGACTCCTGAGTTGATGTTATAATGGGATGCGGCCTTGGGACAGGGTGATGTATTTTGTATTTGGGATAAACACACACCTTCAGGGTCTAGAGAGCTGATTAGTTAGACAGGCTGTCCCTCCCCACACAACGATGTCCATGCCCTAATCCTGAGAACCTCTGAATATGTCACTTTATGTAGCAAAAGGGACTTTGCAGGTGGGATTAGCAAGGGGTTTGAGATGGGGAGACTGGCCTGGATACCCAGGTGAGCCCAATATAACCACACACCTTCTTAAAAGCACAGGACTTTCACGGGCTTAAACAGGAACCATAAGGAGGAATGAAAGGCCCGAGAAGTCACCACCTGCACAGGGAGCAACCACGTGTCTCGTTCACTTCATGTATCCCCAGAGCCCGGAACCCAGCAGGTGATTGCCACAGAAAGGCCAATAAAGTGAACTTTTGTGTTTTATTTTTGTCTTTGAGACGGAGTTTTGCTCTTGTTGCCCAGGCTGGAGTGCAATGGTGCAGTCTTGGCTCACTGCAACCTCTGCCTCCTGGGTTCAAGTGATTCTCCTGTCTCAGCCTCTCGAGCAGCATGTGCCATCACGTCTGGATAATTTTTTTTTTATTTTTAGTAGAAACGGGGTTTCACTGTTAGCCAGGCTGGTCTTGAACTCCTGACTTCAGCTGATCTGCCCAGCTCAGCCTCCCAAAGTTCTAGGATTACAGGCGTGAGCCACTACAGTGAATTTTAAGCACTGGATTCCAGCTAACAGCCACGTTAGGTGAATTATTTAACCTCTCCGACCCTACATCATCCCATTTCTATGGATATCAGA